GCTTAGCCTTATGTAACTTATTTGTTAATAACTAATTTACTGTGAAAAAATTAACTGATTACTTGTTAAAAAATATTCTACAGATGACGAATATAAGCGTAAAAATAATGAGCGAATTCCTCGTTTGATTGATTTCTTCAAATATGATTTGATAAATAACATTAATCTTATAATTTACTTCAGTTAAATTCTATTTAAATCCTTCTAATCTTCCTTCCATAATTTTTCGTTGAAAATTTTGATGAAACTAATGACATTTGTTATAACTTTTATACTAATAATTTAGCAACAGAAATTAAATTTTTACGACTCCGATAGAACGGTGATCAATATTAACATTCACTATTTGCTTAAAACTTATTTTGTTATTTATTTTGATCAAAAATGTTAATTTAAAAAAAAAAAAAGTGGAAATAAACGATAGTAAAAGGGAAAAAAAGAATTAAAAACAATTAAAAAATAATATACTTGAATGAATATAACTTAAAGGATTTAGTGAATTTGCCCACGAGTAAAAAATAAATGGAATTTTCTTCCTATTAAAAGAATCCATTGTTCACAACTATTTATGTAAAAGTATTTGTTGTCGCCTATTTTTTTACTTAATCATATTGTACAATTTTAATCTAATGCGGCAATTTATGATAAAAACGAAAAGCATTTCTATTCTCAAAGGGAAATTAAACTCGATTAGTTTTTCACTGCAATAAAATGAGAGAAAAATGAAGATAAGCATGCAAGCGATACGATGAAATTGTTTGGCTAGGGGATGAAAATAATTCAGCACCGTAAATGAAAAGGCAAATAAAAAAAACAAGAAAGACTTCCTTGGAATATTTTTTGAACTGCTGGCAAGTACTGTTGTACTGCTCTTTTTTTCTAAGAGCCGTTGATGGTTAGGCTCATTCCTTTGGCCTATCATACTAGACAAATTTTACAAGGGGAATCACTTGGCGGCAATAAATAGCGCAGATAAGTTGTTACTATTCTATTATACTATACTATTTATAAAAATCGAGAAAATCGTCAAATCTCTTTTTGTTTCCATTTTCAAAAGATCCATCTGGAACTACTAAAACATAAAAAGAATTTTTGCATAATTTATTCAGCTTTAATGGAAAAAAAATATTTTCCCCTCTTATGATGGAATCAAAAAAAGAATTATTTTTTATTCAAAAAATTTACAATTGAAAGAAAATCTGAAATTTAAAAACGCAAAAAAAGAAAATTCTTTGGAGAGGAAAATCCAAAACGCATATTTTGTAGATATTTTTTATTTAAAATGTGAAAATGAAAGAATAATTTGATTTACGGGGATTTCATGGTTCACACTGATTAAACAAATAATCACAATATTCGACGAAATTTGCTTGAAATGTAAAAAATAATAAAGCGATAAGTAAATTATAGTAGATAAAGAAATGGTTTTTTTGGTGATAACCACGATTTACTGTACCTTCCTAAACAGAAAATCGCCGTTTCCAATATCGAATAAATATTGAAAAAATACAAAACAGCGAATATCATATGTTTGCAGTGATAAATAATAGAAATAATAACACAAATAAAAGAAATTAGCGAAATTAGCAAATTAGCGAAACTGCAAACAAAATTCCACCACAGTCAACTTATCACTATAGACTGCGAATGCAATCTAAAGCAATTAAATCATATTATTTTTTAATAAAAGTATTTATAGCTTCAAGCAACAGCTTTGGTACGGCAAAGGCTGAAAAGCTATTCTTTGGTATGTAGAAGATAGAAGATAGAATAGTGGAGCTGTGTTACCAGATTATCGCCTCGAGCGTCAGTGTACAAGTCCTATCGCCATGAGTACATATCACAAAAAAATCCATGTTGCGGTAAGTCGTTCGCTGGAAAATAGCTCGCCGATCGAGCACAACGGTGATCGTTTACTTCCTTGTGCCTTAGTGTGCAGTTCTTGTTCTGTTTAAAAATTTTAAATAAGGACTAAAATTTTCATAAGTTCGAGAGACTTTCTTACTTTCCGCTTATTTCGCGGTTTTGGTATTTTTTTATTTTTGCGAAAAAAGATTTGCTTAGACGAATTTTTCTTTTTTAATTATGTCAAATGATTCGCTTTTAAGGAATGAACATATTTAAATAACGACAGCGAATAAAATTGAATTTATATGACTACATCATTTCCTTTAAGCCACTTCCTTGCAAACCTCGTTCAACATGATTACGAAAATCATGTCTATAAATAATTTCGCATAACCACCACGATCGCCATGCCCCCAAGAGAGCATAAAAATTACAGATTTAGACTAAATAATCTTTCTCTCAACCATCTCAAAAATATTTTTGCCGTATTTAAGATAGGTTTGTAGCAAAAATATAAATATACCGGTATATGTATAAAAAAACAAAGCTGATCGTTTAAATTTAACGAAACAATGGCGAAATTCGATATGGCTCATTTTAAAAAAGAAGGCCATATTGGACGGTAATCATTAATCCTTCATCTTTCAAGTATATACTTAGAATCCGTTCATGAAGAGAACTCTTCCAAAATTTCACAGCTATTCGTACGATAGTTCACGCTCGTATACACGTATCTCATTGCTTACAATCACGGGAAACGAATTTTTTACGAATTCTTCTATTGACAATTCGTGGAGCGAAATAAAATGATTTATATAATGAAAAATTTGAAAAAAGTAAAGCAAATGTTTGCCACACTTCATTATTCCAATGCCAAAACTTTTGTTCAATGTATTCTTTTCCATTATTCGCCTAATAATTAAGTAACAAGCAGATAAAACAAAATCTGAAAATCTCTAAAAAAATATTCAATTAGGTAACATCGGTCGAATAATGTTGTCAAGTAACATACTACTGACTGAGGTCTAGCAAGATGGGTTCCTTTAACGAAAACAAACTTGCCATTAAAAATCTGGCTGCTACAACCTGTATTTCTATCGCTAAGTGATTCTCTAACGAAGGGACTTCACTCTGATAACCACCGAAGCCAGCCAAATCAGATTTGATGAATAAAAGAATAAAGAAAAAGAAGAGAAAGCAAAATTTGCCACTAGACAAAGCAAAATTTTAAAATAGGCTTTATAAAATTAGATTAGAAATCAAAGGCCCTAAAAATGGATCGTTTTATTTATGAAGCTCCACTGCAAAAAAAGGCATTTTTTAACGCTTAAATGGTTTTCCCTTTTTTTAACGATAACTACGGATATAATGAATATATACCACAGGAGTGCCAAAATACACACCAAATTTCACGATACAAATCTTAATCGAAGATTCAGTTTGGCCTTACAAAACTGCTTTTAAAAAATGGAGAAATGATGTATAAATAGGAAAGTGGAAATCTAGAAAAAGATTTGACGCTAAAAAATCCGCGAACCGTGTAGAAATTGAAGAATAACAAGGCAGCGATCTTAGGTAACTTCCTTAAATCGAAATTTTCCTTATTGTTTCCTTATTCATTTCTTTTATGACCTTTCAAGTAATGCAAATAAACTTAAAAATCCCACTTTTTACAAATTATAAAATCCTTGTGGAAATTTTACGATAAAAATAATGAAATATGGCTGCTAAAAAAAGTGAAGAGAAAGTGATGCCTTTAATCGCAATCGCGTAAGAATCTTTGCTTAATGAGGTTGCACAGAATCCTGAATGCAAATTAGATTTAAGAAAGATTCAAGAACGTCGACAGCAATTTTTATTTAATGCCAATAAATATCATTTCGACCATTGCCTTTATCAATGGAACATCAATGAAAAAGGAAACGACACGAATTTTTGTATTCAACATCCAAAAAGTGGTTACTGCCCAGCATCTCTGGCTAGGCTTGCATCGCTGGTTAGCATGGCTAGAAACCTTTGCCATGGAACAATTGGGCTGCCAGCAACGAGGAATTTAATCGTGTTGGCAAGCTCTTACCTCTTAACAAAATAATCACTTGGCTGATACCAAATAATTTCACATGGAGCAAAAATCATTATTCCATATTGAAATTTCTAATATAGTTATAGCTCAAAATTAATCACTGATAATTCTTTATGTTGAGATCAATCAAAACAAATTTCTGCCGAGAACTGCTCTTTCATTTTAAAATCCTCCACTGAATGTGATAAAAATTTCATACGAGATGAACTCGAATTCCGCTTTACAACTGTGGATAAAAAAGTAATCACAACTTTTTTAGTTCCAAAATACCGAATATACATGTATAGCACGTAGCGAAAAAAACAAACTAGCAAAAAATAAACATTTATTTTGAATGAATTATCGGACATATCGGATTAATTAGTACTCTTCTTGGACCAAATATCCAAATAATAATGTCAATATTAAGAAAATCTTTATATACAAAAATCGATCTACGGCCCAAAACAAAGACAGAAAATGTGAAATTTTAACAATTGTGAAATGGGATTTTGCTAGTGAAAAAAATGAAACTCCTTACTTAATCTATTATATATAATCATATTCATTCGCTCATTCTTGTCTGCCATTAAATTTATAATTCTACTGAACAAAGAAAATAAAAAGAGATATGATAACTCTCTGAGTATCTTGATGAGCAAAATATTAATAAATAAAATTAAAATGAAAAAAATGTAGAAAAGATAATTATGTATCAAAATTAAATATTGATAAAACATCGAGATGTACAATTAGCAATAATACACTGAGCCATGCTTAAATATACTGAAACAGCTTGTAAGAAATCATACAGTGAGAAGAAATCGGAAATAGTTCATTTTCTAAATCCCAACTCAAGGCATATATTTGTAAAGAGAGATAATGCGATTTATTCCCTAACTTAATAAGAAATTAATAAATAAAAATAATAATTCATAAAATTAATGAAGAATGTGAAGAGGAATACGTAAAAAACATATATATATATATATACACAGAGAAATATATAATCTAATATATAAAGCAAAAACATTAAATATTAGATACGTTAAACATTAGAAATAAAAATCGAAAAATACAAAACAGGGCTTTAATGATCAGCAAAGAGACGATTAAAAGATTTCCCTTCATCATTCGGACCAGCAACCTTCACTTCAGTCAGTGAAAATGAATCTGGCAAGTCAAATGGAACAAAGGTGGGATTACGGTGAACGAGAGATGGATATAAAGAAAGAAAATTCCTAGGAACAAGTCCTTGTCTTTTTCCAACGTTTCTATCTTCATACTCACAAAACCACCATCCTTTCCCATCAACTTCTTTTTGCAATACTTTTAAGATCGCACCGGCAGGGAAAGAGAGTTCATCATCTTGTTGCTCTTCATATCCGTAAGCTGCATACATCTAAAATTTTTCAATAATCATCTCAAAATATCTCGGAAAATCTATATTCCATATTTTAGGAAATAAAGCCAACCTAAAAAAACCACAAAAAATATTCTAAATGGATGAAAAAAACTGAGCAAAGACAAAAAGCATCGCCAATCGTCTTCACCACAAAGATTTCTCAAGGAAATCTTGGAACACTGGAAGAAATTAGAAAAAAAAAATGTGAACTTCAGATAAAATCCAGAAACTTACTTGCTGTTCATTAATGGTACCAGCACCATTTAAAGCCGAGTTTAGATACCGCTGACAGCCTTCAAATCCTTCTTCTTCTTCTTCGCATTTTTCAATAGGTGTTTCAAGATCGGAAAGAGTTTGTGCGAAAATGCAAGCACCATTTTCAACAAGCATTTTTACCATAGGCAGATTGTTACATGATGCAGCACAATGAAGTGGCGTCCACCCATCAGAATCCTAAACAGCTCATTTAAAACACAAAAATAAATATAACAACCTATAAGAACATAAAAAATATTTTATTTGCGAAAGAATTTTCTATTTTTATTATATATAAATAGATGTAATTTAAGATCAAACCTGCGCATTAACATCAGCATGAGACTCGATGAGATATCGAACTATCTCATAATGACCCGCACAAATTGCATTGTGCAAAGCTGTAATTCCTTCATCGTTACATGCAGATAAATTGCTCATCTGAAATTTATTCAAAATGTGCTTTAATTCATTAAATGCACTGTGGAAATTACCTTGATGGCACATTCCTTGACAAGATCGATTTCTCCTTCTAAACACGCATCTAACAAAAGTGCTAATGGATCGAAAACCACTTTTTTGTGAAGTTTTTTTGAATTCACTGATCGTAAAATGCTCTACAAAATATCAAATGAAGAATATATTAAATTCATCGGCTTGAAAAATATTAAAATTTAAAATTTGAAAGAAAAATGCAAAAATAAAACAAACATCTTTTGATATCTCTTTTGTTAGTTCTAGAGATTCACTGTAATCAGCGCCAGATATAATTATTTTATCCAATTCCTCCTCATTTTTATCACCTGAATTAACAAATTTTTGTTCATCATTGTCCAATCTTTGGTCTTCTAATAGATTTTCTGAATCATTTTCCTTTGTAACATTAGAAGGTGCGTTAGAGGATTCATAGAGATTTGAATCATCCAACTGTAACCGTTTTGCGCCAACATTTGAAATATTTCCCGCATTCTCTACCAAAGAATTCTAAAAAAGAGAATAAAAACGGTGATAAATGCAAAAGAATCTAATCGAAATTTCGGAAAGTTCATAATAAATTAAAATTGCTTAAAATTCACGATAAGTTGGCGGAAAAAAAAAACCTGATTTGCCGACATACTAAGAATGTTTTCGATATATGGATCCAGAATGATATGAGTGCGGCCTTTCTTTTGTTCTTCACAGAGTATCTTCCGTATATAATCTGTTTCATCTTGTGATGTTTCCTGTTGAACCCAAGACCTACAAAGAAAAAGCTACTTTAGATTTATGAGCATTAAATCATGTTAAAAATAAAATGATAAAAAATATCTAATGAAAAAAATAATTAATTAGAAAGAACATGAATATTACCTCCGTTTTGCCGCACGAAGAGTACCAGGACGAATGGAGACTTGATCAGCATTTGCAAGTTTAGATATCTCGTCTCTGATAAAATCACCATTGCCCAGTAAATCTGCTGGAGGCGGCTCATGGTCCAGAATTTTAGCCTCATCCCACAAATGATATATAGTCGCCAAACGTCGAGAAGAATTGCAGATTTCATTTTTTTCGTGGGTATTAGCAATTTCATGATTAATATTATCTTTAGAAGTATTATTCACTAAGTCATTAACCAACCCGATAGATGGTTTGTCTTCAGTGCAATTTTCGTTGACGTAAGTTGGAAAAGGATCTCCTGGTGGCGATGGAGATTCATTTCGATTTTGCTTAAGAGATATGTCAATTCGGTTCCTGAAAAGAAAGCAAATATAACACAGAAAATCAAATCACAAATCATAAAAAATATGCTGTGAAAAAACAAAAATCATTATAATACTAGAAATTGTCAAATAAAGATGAAAAATCAACAGAAAAATGTTGAAAACTGAAAAGATGATAATGAAAAAAATCTACAATAAGCAGAAATATAAGCTAATAAATTCAATAGATGAAACTAATGAATGGAACAAAACCGAATAAAGCGACAAACTGATTCTAACTAACTCATTAAGATTGTTAATAAGATTATCGAGATCCACTGGTCGTGGTGATTCAATTTTTTTGGGAACATTTTCCACCATTTTCAATTTGCTTGATGGTAAAACATTCGAATTCACCTGTAAAGGTAAATTTACAAAACTAAATAATTGAAAAAAACTGATTTAAATGTACTACCTGAAATGGCTCAACAGATGCTCGAGGTCGATTTGCAGTATCGCTCAATATAGATGAAGTCATTCGGTCTCTGTTTGGTTGTGACTTACTGTGATTTAAAGCATCAAACACTGGTGCGCTGCTATTATCCATACATATTTTGTCATTAGTCTCAGTTGACAAACTGCCATATAGATGATTGAAATTCTGCATTACAAAATTAATGGCATTTTTAGATTCTACGGAATTTATAGCAGCAGAAAGAGCTGTACCGACCGAAGATTGCACAGATCTGTTATCTGATTGCGCCGCGTTAAGAACTTCGTTCGTTTGAGGATAATGGTGCTGCGTTTTTTGGGAGATAGCACATTCCTTAATTAAAAAGCTAATATTGCATCAAAACCATAAAATAAAAAACAATATTTTCTAATATAAAATTTCATCCAAAATGTTCGAAATGTCCGAATTTCATCCAAAAGAATGAAAAAAAATTGACCTGATCAATTTTACACTCAGGTGACACAAGCCTTTGCTGCCTAATGGCTGCATTCATAGCTGATAACCTTCTACGATACAAAAGTTCAAGCTGAAAAATTTTACTGCATAACAATGCTTGTACAATGTTTTTGCAGTTAAAAATAAAATAAAACAGAATCTAGAATCACAATTTAAAAAGTTTTCGGACCTATCCTTTATACGATACAATTCCAAAAAAACGTGAAATACAGCGATTGCATTTTTTGCCGCTGTTTTCTTCATTAAATTATTTATTATTCGTACCATTATGTCAAAATGATACGGATAAAATGAACATGCAAAAATCGGCAAAAATATTACCTGTGCTTTCAGGGAATCAATTTTAGAAAATGCAATTCGTAATTGTTGACCCTGTGAAGAAACCTCATTCTGCAGCTTTCTTAATTTATTCTCTACAATAATCCGTTCTGCACAAGCCTCATTGGTTTCTCGTTGCAATATATGCAGCCTTGTCATTTCATTTTCTTCCCTCACAACCTGATAAATTAAGATGAAATCAAAAAATGGTAAATCAGTTATCACCTAAAAGACACGAATAATAAAATTCCACAACTTATAAAATAAATAAATAAAATAATTTGTTTGCCATTATAAATTATGAAAAACACAAATATTCACCTCTCTACGAAGTGAACTTAACTGAATCGAACGCTGATGCTCGGAATGTGGTCCTCGTACTTCACGATCTTCAATTTCCCGTTGATACGAATCAATCAATTTGCGTTGTTGTTCAGCATAGCGTAACAGTTCACGATTTTTGGATGGTGATTTTTGACTAAAATTGAATTTATATTTTTATGTTATACTGCTTCCCATTTAACAAAAATCGGTATAATTTACCGATTAAAACGTGAAAAACAAAATAACGAATAAAATGAATATAAAGCGAGGTCGTTTAACCAAGAAATTCATAAAAATATCCAAAAATTTTTAAAAATAAATCCAAGAAAATTCATAAACCCGTGTTGCATTAATGACAATGCTGATGATGAAGTTGGTTGAGGTGGTTTAATAACTCGAATCGGTAATCGCGACAGCTAAAAAACAATTCTTCTCTTTTAAAAAATTATTTTATTTGTTCATGTTCTAGAGATCTTTGGGGCAGAAATTCAAGATTGGCATCAGTCTTGGATCATGTAATCAGAAAACTAAAAAAAATCACCTTCAAAACAGCAATACACGTCAAACAAAAAAATATAAAGACTGACCTTAGAAGGCATAAATGCACTGTTCTCGCCTAATGTGACTGCTTTCAGTGAATCTGAAGCATCGATTAACCTTACACCATCACAGCTTTCCCCATTATTATTTTCCATTCTTTATAATACAATTATAACTAGTTCAATCAATATAAATACTGAAAAAATGAAAATTACTAAATCTATTAATCAGTAATTTGGAGGCAAAGTCCAAATCTGTTGGGCTGAAATTCGGCCAGATATGTAATAAATTTTCATACACATCGTGAGAATATTAACACATCGACCTTACAGCAAAAATGATCACATTTACAACTGAAATAAGCTGATAATGACTGATAAAATCTCAATTATTTTTCAATTCTCCTATTCAGTTGATGCGATCAGTGAAATTCAGGTCATTTGGGGCCAAAAGGTTAGCTGCGAATAACGAGCAAACGACATAATTTCGAATAAATGCGATAAAAATAGCCTTAAACAAATTTGTTCTTTTAAAATGTCAAAACATAACGGAAAAAAATGGAACGAGAACGATATAAGAAAAGATCAAAAAACAGGATTAACTGCAAGCTGATTTAACTGTGACTTAACTGAATTTAACCGAATCAGTTTGATTCGAATAAAATCTGCCATAATTCCACGAAAGAACAAAACCTATCTCGAATCACAGCAATCGAACTAACCATTCGTTAATTTTAAATAAAAACGATACAATAAATCGATTGCCTTAAAAGAAATTTAAGAGAAACGCGCCGACCGGTCATCACCGCGATAATTAGGAACAATGATGGCGCGACGCGCAATCGACATTGTTGCTATATAGCAATTCTTATATTTTTAACTATTAAATTAATTATAAAACGAGCAATTTTTACAAAATCCTTGGCTTTTCTATTCGACTTTCCGCGCAGTCGTCTTCTCTTTCGTCACTGCTCGAAACCGACTGCGCATTAGCTTCACAATCTTCCTTAATGAAGAAAATTTCGCAAATTTTTTTTCAAAGAATTATAAAACGTGGCAAGATTTTAGTGAAAAAATTTGAATATTAAAGTAATGACCGCTAATACTGATGAATTTTGAATAATAATTAAACAAGCATTTTCGTAGAATTATTTACTCCTTTTAAACAAATTATTCTAATAAATAGAAAATATTTATAAAAATATTTAAATAAAAATAAATATTTATAAAGAAATAAATAGGGAGAAAGGCGAATAAAATACAATAACAAAAAATAAGAAAGCCAATCATCTTCTCTTCGGTTTCTTATCACTAGGAGGGCCAGTAAGCCTCGCGATTCGAATTGTTCCAAAACGTAATCCTTCGTCTAGCGTTGCCCGCATTATACTTAATTATATTCACAATAAAAATGGTACTAGTGTTAATCTTGTGTTAATCCTTTACCTTTCTGATATTCGCAAAAATGTAAGTAAACTGTTTTTAACCCTTGAACTATGCAAATCTTTGAATTTTCTTAAGAAACTGAAAATAAAAAATATAAACTTACTTGCAACCAAGGGCTGATAATAAATTAACAATTTTCGACTCTGGAACCAACAGTTCTTTCGCCCATGGCGTAATCGGAAGCATGTAAGATTCAGCTGCAAAAAATTATCCATTAACGCTGCTAAACATCAATTTTACTGAAAAGATTATTTCTATCATTACCTTTACAGTTCAATATTTTCCACATGTAAAATTGTTTATTTTTTATGTGAGAAAAATCAGGAATATTATCTATTTCTTAAAATAATTTTAAATAAAATTAGTTTAAAGGAATAAAAAAAAAGCATTCATTAGAAAATTGAGCAGGAAAAGCTAAGTATTTGTGTTAATAAAAGTAAACGAAAAATCACATGAAGCAGTATGAAACTGAAAATAAGTAATTTGAACGAATATTTGTACTGCTAAAGCAAAAGGCTACTATAGGGTCGTAAAAATAGGCTGGATTTGAACCAGCATTTAGCTTGCCTTCTCAATAAATTAATTATAAGGTAGTTCTTGTGAGTTGAGAGTGGCGCATCGGTAATTCAATCGCAATATTCAATTCAATAGTCCGAATCCGGTCAGCTCATCACGCTTTCATCAATTGGGAGCGTCGCGAATTGACGAAAGCAATGTTGATTCGGGATCGCTGGACGCATATGGTTTTTTTAATGAGCGATGATGCTAGACTCGACGAACAGTTACATTAACGACATATCGCGGTAGAGGCTTTGGTAGATTTTGCAATATGGTTCATATAACTCCAGAAAAAATAATTTGATTCTCTGGATGTTTCGTGAATTCACGCATAAAATCGACAATGATATTAACCTAGAGACAATCAAAAAAAACTCTTAACTTTGTTGTTCTCCATTAAAATGTAACATTAATAACAAAAATATTAATAAAAAAAAATGAATATTTTTTCGATCGAATGTGCAAGTACTGATCTAAAATTACGATTTCACCATGAATAAAGGCGTAATTCAGTAATATTATTGTTCAGTGGCAATAATTAATCTATTATTTATGAGTTCGAATCCGACCAGCGCATCATGCTTTCGTCAACTTGGAGTGTCGCGAAGCGGCGAAAGCAAAAAATGGCTACCAAGGAACAAAAATATATTGGATTCGAACCGGCAGTTAACTTGCCTTCTCAATAAATTAATTACTGATCAAGGATCAATGAAGAGGAGGTTAACCAGGCAGTTTTTATGAATACAGAGTAGAGTGTTCATAGTTCAGTGGCATGCCAAAACAGCGAATCAGTAAAAACGATTCAAATATTTAAGAAGACGATGACACCCATAAAGAAGGCTAAAGAAAAGTTAGACTAAAGCCAATGGAATGGGAAAAGTACAAAAAGATGATCAGGTAATATCCACAAATGGCCAAATGGATATAAAAAGTTCCGTGGACGGCCAAAAAGGAGTGAAAGCCGACTAATCGCAAAGTAGCCTTTTTTCTTTCGCCGATTTGCGACAATATTCATAAAGTTAACAAAAACTATACGAAATAACGTAGAAAAAAAAAATGTGCATAAAAAAAGTGCATAAAAAAAAAAAGTAAAAAAGTAGCCTTTTTTCTTTCGCCGATTTGCGTAAACAAATTAATTTAAAAAGATTATTACATATATGTTGATGGTGCTAAATACGACATATAGGTAATGTGTCAGTATTTAACAGCATAAGAAAAGAAATTATGAGTAATACTTAGTTCTAAGAAAGGTTTAAGTAAGTAATTTCGGACTATGAAATCCAGTCCTATAAAAGCTTACAATAAAGCTCATAATATTTATTGTAATGAAGATTACATTACCAATTAACATTCTATAAATATATACCAAATCTTGTTTTATTCTGATTTTCTAGGGGTATGTGAGGATCAAAATCAAAATTCTGACTAATAGTTATTTAAGGAAGTAATCGCCATAAACTACGCAAATGCTTTAAAAAATAATGTAACAAAATTTTAAAGGATTCATAAAGCTATTCAACCATTTTATTTGTCAATCTGCAATTAATAAGCCTATGATCCTCCATGTACGAAATTTATTTTACGATCTTCTACCAGCTCTCAACATTACTGGTTAGATTGGATTGGCTAGCTATAAGGATAAGACATTTCCAAGTTATTCGATCCAACACCATTACCGACAGTAATAAAAACCATTCCTTTTTCCGCTGTCTTAGTTCATATATCGCTAGTCTACCTATACGTCTAAAATCTTTCATGTATTAATCCAGGTCTTGACTGCCCTCCTCGCTTTTGACATCCATCAAAGGGTTTAGGAAGCAATGAAATGAGTGTCATATCCTATGATAAGCGACGAAGAACATGCAGAACCAAACAGCGAAGGCGACTGAGATGATGCTGTTGAAACAGGTGGTATTCCAGCGAAAGTGGACACAATCAAAATTTTATCCGTTCAGCGAAACCCAAATGTATTTTCGACATTAGCGTTCAAACTTATATAACTTCTTAACATATCCTATCATATCCTATCCTACTTCATTGGCCATATCTCGCAGTTATATAACAAGGTCGAGCGAATTGCAGCTAAGAGATTTCACAACGCAATGGATCCTTTAATGGAAGAACAGATTTCTACCTATCAGAGCTGTAATTTCGTCTATTGCTCGCCGTTTGAGATTAGAGTGGTTCCAAGATATTTGAAGTGTAAAATTTCTTCAACCGGAGGTAAATTGATGAAAACAGTTTTATTTCCGACATGAATCGCTATGAATATAGAAAACTGATCACTGCGAATCCCACCCGCTGCGAAATTATTTTTCTTTTTTCTTTTTCTGTAAATTTTATCAACTTTTGGGCACATAAAATAAAAAGATTTACATTCATCCTGAGTCTAACTGTCATTTTTCCGCAGCTGTCGACAAATTGCATCATCTGCATTTCGCCACAATTGTCAGCAAAAAAGACTACATTATCAACATTTTCAAGATCTCTGATACTATTATCAGGAACGATTTCCATATCTCTTGAATGCTAACAAGCGAATTCGATTATCCAGTCTATCACATAATTGAGTATTGTACAGGAAAGGATGCAACCTCGATAGACAATTTTTATTTCGAAAAGTCTATTAGTTCCACACATATCCGTGCCAATATACGCTGAGTCGAATGTTTTTCTCTGGAACATTATATTCCATCATCCTTCAAAGCGCCGCTCTATCAAATGATTCGAAGGCAGTAAAATCGATTTATCGATATTTGATGTCTCTATCCAACACTAACGTGAATATTTGGTCGGCACAACCACATCCCGCTCTGAATCAACCTTAAGATCACTAGGAAATAGTCATTTGAATGGAACCAAATAAAAATTTGCAGTAAAATCTGAAATACAATAAATAACAGTTGGCCAGCCATTTCAAGCCACCACTCACCAGACTAGAATACTTTTTTTTTAGAGTTCTTACCATTATTAGTTAAACTCGGGATTTACAGGACTCCAAGCATTAGGATAATCCCACTGTTCTTTGCTGTTCTTGATTAAACTTGTCAGCACACCATAAGAAATATCAAATGGTCTAAAGATCTGTAAACAATGTTTACTAGGATACAAACGGTTTAATCATTTTCAAACATATATGATGAGGGTTTTTTTTTAGAGTCCTCACCATTACTGGTTAAGCTCGCTCCACTCGCATTGGGCAATATGCCATGGAGTCCCTTGGAGATAGAAATACTCGCGAGCATCACCCGGAAATATACCCGGATTTTTGAGCGGGTTTACTCCTGTGGGGGACCGAATCTCAGCATCGGCGCTCCCAATTGAGTAACAACCTACTGATCCTATCCCCGGAATATTGGAATACTATTAGAAAAAATATCAACAATAACGAATCAATATTAATTAAAATAGGTCAATTGTTAAATTAACTTGCATTTACGCTGTTATTTAAGAAAAGGACAATCATTTTAAAACAGAAAATTTCAAAGATGAAATTAACTAAGAATGATTTAAAAATAGGAAATAAAAAAATAGGAAACTAAGAACTAACAATTCAGAGAAATCGCAAGGCACAACAAGTGTGAAAGCAGTCTGTCTTTATCAGTAGCGTTTAGAAAAAGTTTTGATTTACTTCGAGCAGATTCCTTTCTAAAATCTCCAGCTGAAATGTTTAAATATGACTGAAATAAGATAGAAACTGAAAAAATTTAATGAATCTTATTTTTTTTATTTTTTAAAAAATTTTATTTCTATCCTAGCACATTGTTTAAATTTTTAAAAAAAAAATAAAGAAATTAATAAATTTGATCGCTTAATTTTTTATTTACTTAAGGGAAATACTAAAAATCTTTAGATCTTTATCCATTTGTTAAAAAGAAAATTTGACTAGGAATGAACGTGAAAATATGGCAAAGAAAAAAGACACAGGCTGTAAAAATTATAACCATAAATTTCTAATAAATACACCAAATTTCAAAAATATATAGAGAAATGAAAAATAATAACCAAAAAACATTTGCATTAGTTTCTCTTTGAATTTAACAGGATAACAAAGATTTGAACACTCTTCTGTTGTAATATGGCGCCGAAAATTCTTACCAATTTTCTAAAAAATTCTAGAAATATGACAAAAAAAGAAACCTTGAATGTGTGGCAATTGCGTATGCAAAAATATTAAAAATTAGCAGTCTCACAAAATAAGACATAAGTTTATATGAAAAAAAGACGTACTTTGAAGCAATTTATCATAGCATCCAAGAATAGCACAAAACACAGCCTCTTCTTTTTTTTATTCTCTTCATTGAAATATTTAAAAGCAAGAGGAGAAAAGCCTAAAATTTTCAATATTTCGGAAAATTGATAACATGCACATCGATATGTACTGGAAAATTTACTAACCACTTTCTAAAATTTCATTTTCTGATCTTGTGAAAAAGACAACAGCATCAGCCTCAACTTCATCAATTTCTAGCTCCGTAAAAAACATGTCTAGTGAATAGACATCACATGGCAGTTTCGCAGCCAAATTCGCTTTTGGTAAAACCGTACCCTGAGCCTACAAATATTTGAAGCCTTAAAAAAAATTGAAGGACAGAACTATTCAACTGCCGGATGGAATGGCTATAGGTTGTGGGTTATCGCTTTCGTTTCAGAGCGCCAGTGCTGGGATTCTACTCCCAGCAGAAGAAAATTTATCTTTCAAAAATCCAGTTCAAGTGACTCTATGGCAAAATTTGTAACTTGTCTGGCCCGACAAGCCAACAAAACAAGCTTAACCAGAAACGGTAAGGCAATGGAATAGAAGAATGGTAAGTAGGTAGGCAGGTATTACAGAGAAATCCTTATATAAAAAGTTTATCCAGATTTAAATGTATTCTACCATGGCAAAAAGAGCAAAACGCAGTGGTGAATCGATTTGAAGCAGACAGTCATTTATCATTTATGAAGCACTAACTCTTTCAATAATCGTCAAAGACTGTACGCCTTTACTATCACTGTTCTCATTCAAGGACGAAACCATAGCTGAATCGATCATAGTTTTCAATGTTTCCTTAAACAAAGATGAAAATTTTAAATGAAATTACATAAATTAATATAAATTACATCGGTATTTATACCAACAACCAATACTTCAAAAAAAGCGTTAAAACTACTAATTCGGCTGAAATAATAACTAAAATTTATGATAATAAATCATCTAACATCTTTGATTTGCCGTCGATTCGACAAATTTATAGCTCTCATCAGTTTTGATGAACCGAATTCACTTTGTAAAGCTCGTCGTTTAATTGCTCGACTCTCTTGATCTGTTGAAAAATTAAGACTATAATCTCTTTTCGTTGGAAATCTGAAAGACTTTGAAAATTATCATTCAAAATTTTGTATAAAATAATCTGAATCCAAAATTTTCATAAAAATATTTTTAAAATGGTAATTTAATCGAAAAACTCACTTGTCCCCAATTAAATTTTCCCAATTACTCGAGCAACTTTCGAAATTTATCATTTTTGTGGGCAGCAAATTTACTTTACGCGTTTTTTTATTAACCACTGCTAATGCATAATCACAACCAGAATTGATCGAATCATCTTCTCGGCCTACAGAAACCAACTTTTGTTTTGAACATTTCTGAATTATTAAATTTGTTATTCAAATAAAAATATGAAGATTTAATATTTTTTTAAAAATTCCTAACAAAATTGGAAACCTAAAAACCTAAAACAAAAGAATTTTTGCAAAAATAAATTTAGAATGAGTAAATCTCTACTAATTAAACATTTAAAAGAATTAGTTTTTCAGGTGGAAAAAAACGTTGAAGAAAATGAGGTTGAAAAAAAACTTCAGGAAGATAAGGAAGACAAAAACTTACCGCATCCATCATTGTGCAGACATGTTCACCAACACCAAATTTTGGCTTATACCACTTGAACTTCATCGAATCTACATCACTGTACTGCCCATATGTGATATTGGCGAGTATAAAATCTACCTTAAAAAATAACTTAAAACCATCAATTCCAATACAGTTTTTCGCCTAATCCACTCAAACTTCTGGCTTTTGGCTCATAGTCTATTAGCAAGAGAAATGAATGCCACGAAGGGTAAACACTGTTTATAGATAAAAGTACTGATAGCTTCCCTCTCTCCAATATCACCAACATTACCGGAACTTTAATGTTCTGTGGCATTCCTGGCTTTTAAGATATTATCAGTGGCAGAGAAAAGTGGTAAAGAAGCGTAAAAACTGAACAGCCGAGTACAGCACAGTAATTACCCAAATAATTGACAAATATCTTCGAAAAGTAAACGGAACCTTTTGCTTTGAATTTTCTGAATCCATTATCGCGCAAATATCGTAATATTTCTCATCCAGAAAGCCTGGAAAAATCGATTATAATACCCACTAATACCCTACACAGCAACAAATCCATGTAAATCCGCCACAAACTTCTGTTCAACCAGTTTATTTTAAAAATTAGAAATAAAATCTGAAAAGATGTTGAAAATTACTAGGCCGCGGCTGAAGCTGCAGTATATTGATAACATGAAAGTCAATTTTTCAGCGGTTAAGCACCATGAAGAAGTGTTATCGGGTTGTAGTAGGTGAGAGTTTAGCTCAGATAATATAATAATAGGTTAGCAATGAGCTGAAGAATATTTTGGTTCCGCACTTTTCCCCACTTTCCCAGAGCGAAATTCAGAAAAACGAAGAGTTTATTTTTGTTTTTATTGCTTTTTTAAGTCATAGATTTCCCTTTATTAATAAGTCATATAATCTAGAGAAATCTAAAAAATTTTGGATTTATTTCGTTAGCTTATAGGCGTATATGTCTGCAAAAAAACCCATATATTTTATCCAAAATTGACCAAATTTTTTCAAAATTCGCCCCATAAGTTCGAGAGGTGTTGACGACTCACTTATACTTCTAACGCTATATGATTTCCTGGATCTTTAGTGCGGCTATTGAAAGAAAAGCCTTATTGAATAGTTTTCTTTCCTTGCTGATTCTCTTCCTTTCTAAATCCCACTAAACCAGTCCTTCTTCTATAGAATACCCTCAGCATGCAAAATTGCAAGAGTCCACTGATGGTTTCCTCTTAAATCATTCTTCATGTGTTCCAAACCGTTCTTTATCGCATCTTTCTAGGAATCAGTTAGCAGCACTTTTTCTTTTCAAGCACATAGTAAGACTTCTTCAGAAAGCTTCGAAATACGCTGTGATAACCTAGCATATTTTGGTATCAAGAATCTGTGCTTTTTTTTGAAACCAGTAACACTTTTTAAAAACCTATCATACTGCCTGTGAAGTCATGTTCAAATTCCTCCGAAACCTGTTATTTTACGAAGATCTTTCCAAACTCCGTCAAATATTAATGGCTTCAAATTCCCGATATGCTCTTTTGCCTTAGTCTGTTTGCGACATCATTTTAAATTTCTTTTTACTACTTTAATCCTCGTATATCAAGTTATAACCGCTCGATGTACCACGTAGGGTCATTTTTTACCGTTGCAAAGGGTCGAATTTTTCGGTTATTTTTGTTTAATTATTTATATATATGTTATATGATTTCATAATTTTTATCATCCCATTTCACCTTTTTTTACATTTGATTTCTTATTATTTAATCGTTGTTTCTAATTTTAAAATTTCTTATCATTCTTAGCCCCATATATGTTCATTTCATTAACTGAGAGATATAAGATGATTATTTTGGGTAATTAATTAGCCATGTTTTGGCTGTAGCATGGTGGTCGATAATTTCACGTTTTAAGAAGTTGTGAAGCTTCTAATAGGCGAATGAATTTATAAAGTTATGTCGAGTTATTGTCCTTATCCACGGCACTGTAAGCGGTGGATCGATCGAAAAAAGTATTTTTGCTGAAAAAATTCTGATTGTAATTTTTGTAGCTTATAATTTTTTTCTTTCCCAGTTCGCTAAAGAATAATGGGTCAACAACAATCCGGATTTGGTGGTAAGCGTGACGATCGTAGCGGTGGCGATGGCGATAAAGTGAGAATACATACATATTCATTGATAAGTATATTTAGTATTTAGTATATATAGTACATAAGTATATAAGTATAAGTATATATAAGTTCATTGATAAGTATATTTTCATTTATGCGGACCACCATTTTTCTCCTTTCAGCCTACATATTCACTTTCAACCTAAACTTTACTTCAAATCTATAAACTATTTTATTAAAAATACAACAAAAGTAATTAAATTTTAAAAATAAAACAAGAAATAATGCTCAAAAGTTTTTGTTGAACCATTTCAGCTTTATTTAGAAAGGAAAATATTTAAGTCACTGATTTTTCGATAGTTGTTTAATTCACTTTTTAAATTAGAAATATTTTTAGAATTAGATTGGTTGCTAAGCTATTGTTCATATTTCTGTAGTTTTATTTTTTATTTAAATTTTTTTTTATAATTTAGAAATTTTTTCTGTCGAATTTTAGGAGAAGAAAAAGAAATACGAGGCTCCAATTCCTACCCGTATTGGAAAACGAAAGAAGGGTGGTAAAGGCCCAGACGTTGCCATGAAATTGCCGACTGGTATTTTTTATTTCTTTCGCAATTTTTTGTAAAAAAAACGAATTTACAGACGAATCAGTTGTGTCATCGAATCAGTTAGTATTTCATATCATATATATATAGATATATTTAGTTACTCCGCATGCACGGTGTCGCTTGAAATTGTTAAAATATGAAAGAATAAAGGATTATTTGTTAATGGAACAAGAATTCATAAAAAATCAAGAACGCTTAAAACCTCAAGAAGAAAGGCAAGAGGTTTGTGCACATTTTTCCATGATCTCTTTTATGGTATGTGCGTGCTTATTTTCTGTTCTTGTGGTACTCACAATTAGTATTGATTTGACTGGCTCATTGATTTCTAGAGCAAGATATTTCTCATTAGACGTTCACTTGGCGATAGAAATAAAGGTGAATGCAAGCATTGTCCGAATTTGACTTTTGGTGAGTACTTCATCCGGAGAATCGGAATCGTAATCGTAATTTTTGACTTCACGAACACAAGTGCCACCTGATCATTCTCGCCATCGTGCACTCGATCTCTTTTAATTTCCTACTCCTTGTTATTTTAGTAGTCAGTAATGTTAGCCAAAATAGAAATGATGTTTCGAAGAACGATTTTTTTTATGATTAATTCATTCATATTTTGAGTATTTTAGGAGGAAAGGGCCAAAGTGAATGATCTGCGCGGTACTCCAATGGCGGTCGGTAATCTAGAGGAAATTATCGATGATCAGCATGCTATCGTTTCAACTGTTGGTTTTTTCTTAGATTATGTTACAATTGTTTGTTTTGCCCTAATTAAATATTTCAACAGAACTGGAATTTTTATTTTGGAAAATCTTATTCTCAATTCCGATAATTTTTCTAATAATTTTGCAAATAAAGTATTCTTCGATTATAGAATGTTGGCAGCGAACATTATGTTTCCATCATGTCTTTTGTTGACAAGGAACAACTCGAACCAGGCTGTGCTGTTCTTCTTAACCACAAAACTCATGCTGTCATTGGTGTCCTTGCTGATGACACTGATCCTATGGTCTCAGTAATGAAATTAGAAAAAGCTCCTCAGGTTCATTTTTTGTTGTTTAATCAGATCAAGATTTAAACCTTTTCCTTATCTAAAGATTGATTGATTTAGTGTTTGGTTCCTTTCTAAAAAATTTTCAAATAAAACTAAGGTAATAGTTTATTTATAGGAAACTTATGCCGATGTTGGTGGTCTTGATCAGCAAATCCAAGAAATTAAAGAATCTGTCGAACTTCCACTTACACATCCAGAATACTATGAAGAGATGGGAATTAAACCGCCAAAAGGTAATAATTTTTTCCTTCATAAACCAGTTAGAATTTTGTTTGAAAAATGCAGACTGATGCTGATGCACAATTATTTCGAACAAAGTGATACTGAGTTCAAGACTTTGAAAGTATAATATTAGAAACGCAAATTTTTCGAATATGTCATGAAAATCCTCTTTTCAGTTCTCTTGAGTTATTTCGAGTTATTTCAGGCGTAATTCTGTATGGTTGTCCTGGTACTGGGAAGACCTTATTAGCAAAAGCAGTGGCTAACCAAACTTCGGCAACATTTCTTCGTGTAGTTGGATCTGAACTTATCCAGAAATACTTAGGTGATGGTCCTAAAATGGTGCGCGAATTGTTTCGTGTTGCTGAAGAACATGCACCGGTATTTACCATTTTTAATTATTTTTAATAAATTTCAAAAATTTTTATTCTTTTCCTTTGTTCTTAGTCAATCGTTTTCATCGATGAAATTGATGCTGTTGGGACAAAAAGGTATGATTCCAATTCTGGAGGCGAACGTGAAATCCAAAGGACTATGCTCGAGCTGCTAAATCAGCTGGATGGATTTGATTCTCGTGGTGATGTCAAGGTTGGTATAATCATTTGAATCGAATATTTTCCTCAGTTTTCGTTTCAGCGTAGTACTTCGAATTAATATTCATTTTTCATCATATATCTTTTTAAATTTTCATTTTAATTTAGACTTCGCAGTAAAATTTCAGGTATTGATGGCGACGAATCGTATTGATTCGCTCGATCCTGCTTTAATTCGTCCAGGTCGAATCGATCGTAAGATTGAATTTCCCTTGCCTGATGAGAAGACTAAGCGTCGCATTTTCCAGATACATACTTCTCGAATGACACTGGCAGATGACGTCGATCTTGACGAATTTGTGGCTTCGAAGGATGAACTGAGTGGCGCTGATATCAAAGTTTTATCTCAAATAAAAGTCTATAAAGAGAGAAAAGCTTTATTATTGTAAAAATTTTTTATTTTATTTTATTTTTAAGGCAATGTGTACTGAAGCTGGCCTTTTGGCGTTACGTGAACGGCGAATGCGTGTCACTATGGATGATTTCAAAAAGTCTAAAGAGAATGTGCTCTATCGCAAGAAAGAAGGTGCACCGGAAGCTCTTTATCTGTGATGTAATTAGATTTTTTTCTGCTTGAATACGTTTTTATGTTGGACATCGATTAAGATTAACATTGTTAAAAATATTCAAAATAAACTTGCTCGCTAAATTTTTTTTGTTGTAACTTCAACTACGAAATTATGCTCCACAAATCTGAAATTTTTGTGATTTATGAAGCAAAATGAAGTATAAATTTTTTATCACTGACGTAAATGCATCGTAATATAAATAATAGATTTATTTATTTATTTCTTCTGTTTGACCATATTATTTTTCAAATTCATATATGATGGATAGAATCGAGCCGGCAGGTTTCTTCGATTGTATGGCCACTAGAAAAATAAAAAATTTTGTAAATATTTTTTTTGCTATAAACTCTTATAACTTTTTGAAGTTTTGTGGGAATCGAGGTGTGAAAAAATATTTTCATCAGGAATGTTGTCAGGCCAGTGAAGTTGAATTCGTCATCAACCACGGAAAATTGGTACTTTATAAAAGGTCATCTTTATTTTCTTTATTTTTAAATGGAAGTTTGTTTAACTGCTAACCCCATTAGTATCATGGTGGCTGCAAATGGATTCCAATTTTGATTTGCGCAATGTTCTTGGTCCTAAAGATCCGAGTGCAAATGCATATAGCACCAAAGACCTGAAGTTTCTCTTAATTATTCCATTAATGTCTATAATCCTTTTGTAAAGTTCATGGAAATTTAGGCTTCGTAAATTGACCATACACGGAGGTTCGAAGGCGTTAATCAGAATTCTATTAGATGGTGTCATAAAAATTTTTTCGTGAACCAGTCGAAGCAGTTAATTTTAAAATAGTATTTTTGGATGCCAAATGAAGATTATGGGTTCATGGTTATTTTTAAACTGATGAAAAAAGCAAAGAAATGGTACTTCATTGCTAAAGCTGGGAATTCTCGTTCGAAAATCGCAAATGATCTAAAAATCAATTTTGAATTATCGTAATGGTTATAAAATATCTTCTACTGGATCTGAACGAAAGTTCTCATATGAAGATTCGAAGAAATCGGCCAGCTGATTTCAAGTGAAGCTCATTTTCGTTTTAGACAATCCGTTTAATAATGTGGATTCATTAAGTGGTGGTGAAACCTAAGGGAATTTTATTTCATTCACGATTTCTCATTCACTAAAAGCCATCGAACTTCAATATTTGCTATACATAAAAGAAACGTGAAATTCTCAAATTTACCTTCAAAATTCGTATAATTCAAATGCGATTCAAATGAAAATTACTGAGGCAAATAAAGTTTTATATTCAAAGTTATAAGCAGCAGTAATTCACCCACAATTTGTTATTCGACAGAGCAGAAGGCTAAACCAATCTACGGGAAAACAAGAAGCAATTCAGTAGCGAAACCGACTGAAGCCGATTTCAATTAACTAGTTTCTAAATATTTTTTCTTCCAAAAGCGCTTTAGTATTTTATGAAAATATTCAAGCAGAAACTCGTTATTGGAATAAATTGCTATGAAATTCTAAAAATAACTCTACTGATTGATTAATTAAATTAAATTTATTAATTTATTAAGCAAAACAAGCGAATAGAACTGAGAAAGTCATACGCTTGTAAAAAATAATACTAAAAAATTGAGAATAATGGCAAAAGCCAGAAACTATTTAAAACGTGGAATAAGCATAATCGTGAAAGGAATAAGGTCACGGCTTTAGGTGTTTAAATGTTGTAAGCAGTGAACTATCACTGAACTGTATTTTGCTTAGGTTCCACTCGTTCTCGTGCGTTTTGAAGTGAATAGAAGTTATGATTCGGATGTTGTTGCAGCACATCCGTACTCCTTAAATGACTCTCTCGCGAAGGGATCTCATTTTAATAATCAGACGAGTAAGAAATGATGAGTGCTGTGAGAAGACAAAGGCTGTTGGGTTTTGTTTCGAGAAATTTTCATACAGGCAATTCCTACAAATATTTTACTTCTTAAGCCAATAAAATACGAAAAACAAGAGAATTCGCCGCGTTTCGTTACAAAGAACAAACAAATAAATAGCGAAAAAAATAGCTTAAATAGAGAAGGTTTTTGTGGTTTGCGCGAAACGTGTTCTCTAATGGAAAATATTCGTCAAAATATAATATAAATGGTCGAAAACATTTACGAATTTCAAATATTTATTTGATTATTTTAGTTTTTTAGAAATTGGAAATCGTAAAAATGAGAAATTAGTTTAAAAAATGTTGTTTATCTAAATTTTTTGAACATAAATTCGATGATAATTGATAATTGAGGCGACAAACGATTGGAAATATTGAAACCCACGTAGATTTTTCCACGTTCTTTCGTCGAACAATACGCGCATCACTTCTATTTTCATAAGGAGAAAATGGCTTTTCTCCAAGGAAAGGAGCAGGAACCGAGCCATCACTTCTCGTCCTCAGCCAAATCTGCTTAATCATCAATGCACCCCTACGATCCGAATATTCTGTAAAGACGCTCAGAAATTAATGGGAAGTGCATCGGAATATTGCCTAATATAAATAATGCGTTTTTGAAAATATGAAATGCATTTCAAGCCAACTTCCATAAAACTTCAACTGGCGATTCTCCATAAAACGATTGGTTGTCAATAAAAATAAAATTGGCTATAACGATGGTCATAATTTGAAGGAAATAATTGGGAACGCAACAGCTCTATTCACGTTGAACAATGCGAAGCTAAAAATGTTATTATGAGTATTGGAATATGAATATTTACAGTCGTTTGACAGTAGCCATTAGCCATTAAAAAATCGAGAATCGAGTGGCTATCAAGTGACTCACTTCCACTTCTACGCTGACGATCTGGCCAAAGAATTAGGCTTTAGCGCGATAGTCAGAGAAACTGGCCAAACTATAAAGGTATTTGAAGAGGAGTTCGGGAACTAAACACTATAAACAGAATGAAAGATGTGATCTTGCCGAATGTTTGTCGGAAAATTAGAATTATTTCTTATAGTGTGGCTGAGTGGTTTTTTGCTTAGATTATCAAGCACCACGGTTAAGCCTTTGCCAACTGAACAGAGTAAATCTCATCAATCCGAATAACGCTGAGGACTCAACTTTATTTCCCAAATAAAGATTTAGTCAGCGAAAATATTCCTGAAATTTGCAACTGAAAGAATAAATCAACCGGTTTTACGCTTTTGTGATCGCTACATTATAATAACTTTTTACTGCGGTTCTACGGTCTCTTCACAATCCAAAAAAGAATCGCATGAGCTAAAAAAACTTATAAGTGATTGTGAACGTCAAAAGTGGGTCGTAGCTGTGGAAAAAAATGCGTTGTTCCAAATATTTGCAAAATCCAACGTCGACAAATGTGTTTGTTTGTGAAAACAATTTTGTGGAATTTGATATGCAATACGTCCGATATGCTTGCGTTGACAACGAATGTGTTGATAAGAAGAAATGTGGTGATGGCATTTATTTAAAATCTGCCAATATTCAGTTAAGCCCAATTACCTTATTTTAAACGAAAATATTATGCTGTAGCATTAAAAGAAAAATTTCTTGAAACTATTTTTTTGCATACGGTAGATGTATTTTATAGAAATTGGAAAATATTCGAAATATTTGGAGATGTATTCTCTCCCATTTAGAATTTAGTTGTGGTTTTTGATTATTTTCTCTTCTAAAGGCACTTTACTGCTGGCAAAAATAAATATATTTTAATTCCTACTTTCCAGTAATTTTAAATTTTAAATTCAAAATGTTTAAATTTTTATATTTTAAAGTTTTTAAATTTTTTTCTACATTATTTTTCTTGTAACTTTTTAAGAATGATTTCTTCTTAGAAAAACACCGAATGTTTAATTCACCAAACCGGCATATTTGAGGTAGGGAAGACGAATTTCCGGGCTCATCGGCAGGGAGGTCGCAGCGCAAGGGCACGTTTCGGGCACTCTTAGTTTATTTGTCATGAAAGAAACGAGCTGTTTGATGTGTTAGTGAAACATTTAAAAATCTCGTTATCAAAGATATATTCGTTGTTTTTATTTTTCATTTGAAGGAAATTGAGCCGAAATGATTCAAATTATGGAAAGTGAAGCAGTAATTAACAGCTCAGATATTCTTACTTTCATTCCTTTGTTAGTTCTGTTATTTTCCATTTTTCTACTTTTCAACTGCTCTTTTTTCTTTTTAATTTCTTTTCTTTCAAAAACTGCGGTCCGATAATGTTTAATTCATGTTTAGTTTTTCCAAGTCTCCACTATTTCGTTTTTTTCTTTATCTCTAGCTAAATCTTTCTTTGGTTTAAGTAAATATGTCATTAAAAAGTCGGGGTAGTCCAGGCAATGTGCCTCTATCTATAGTCAAGTGATTTCTTAGCAAAAATCTAGCTTATCAAATCAAGAAATGCTAGCCTTTATTTATCTGTTTTTAATCGTAATTTCAGAGGTTCGGGTCAAGAAGTTGGACGTTCTTGTCACTTTTTGAGTTTCAAAGGCAAGAAAATTCTTGTAAGTTTTGTTTCGTCCACAATTTTAATTCATTTTGAATGTATTGCTATCACTCAACCCATTCTTCATTTCTCTTTTGTCCTCCCATTTACATTATATAGGTGTCTGTATTTTATTAGATTCCAGCTTATAGATTTCAAGAAGATTTAGACCTTGGTGGCTGTTATATTATTTTCTTAATATTTTTTTTAAATCATTGAGTTAAAAATCATTAAGCTCGATTGTGGCATTCATCCTGGCATGATTGGTGTTGATGCATTACCATTTGTCGATATCATCGAGTGCGATGAACTTGATTTGTTACTGGTACCATTTCTTTCCTTCCAATCTTTCTAGTTTTCTATGAATTTTATTTCGAAATTCGTTTCAAGAATGTTTTAGGTAATATTTACGAACCAATTTTATTTGCTTCGGTTTTCTCTCTATTAATTATTATTTTTAAATTTCGTATTTTGTGTCATTTTGGGTAACACACTTCCATTTGGATCATTGTGGTGCGTTACCATGGCTATTAGAAAAAACTGCTTTTCGTGGTCGTTGTTTTATGACTCACGCTACAAAGGCTATTTACCGTATGCTAATTGGCGATTATTTAAAGGTATGACTATTTGTAGGTGTGGTTATCAAATTATTCATTGAATACTTGATTTGTTAATTAAATGCTTTGGCAAATTAGCAATTAAACGCTTAGGGGGATAGAATGGTTCAGTGGGTTGTTGCCCAATTGGGAGCGCCGATTCGCTGAGATTCGATTCCTCATAGGAGTAAACCTGTACAAAAATCCGAGTGATGCTGGCGGCTTATCTATATCCCTATCGCCAAGGAATTCCCTGGCATATTGCCCAATGCGACAAACCAGTGGAGCGAGTTTGACCAGTAATGGTGAGGACTCTTAAAGAAAAAAATGATTTATATCTGTCGGAAGATCCTCTCTTTACATCGTTCTGCAATAACTATTACCTCTTTTTATTACTTTTATTTTAGTATTTTTTTAAGAGCCATATGGAAATTGCCCATTAACTTACCAATTTGATCATTAGAAAGTGAAAATTGCTTGTATATTTTATTTGCAATGTATTGGTTAATGTTTAGGTTTCGAGGTATGGCGGCCCTTTTGAAAGTCGTATGCTTTATACTGAAGAAGACTTGGAGAAAAGTATGGAAAAAATCGAGGTTTTACTTATTTTTGTTATTTTTTGTTGCATGGTGTTATTTTTTGTTTCTGTTACCATTTTATACTAATCGTAGGTAGAATTTGGAAGAAATTCGTGTGGATTTTCTTTTGTTGCCAGTATTACTATATTTTTTATTTTTTCATATTATTTGAGGTAATTGATTTTCACGAGCAAAAGGAGGTAAATGGTATAAAATTTTGGAGCTATGTAGCTGGTCATGTACTTGGTGCTTGTATGTTCATGATTGAAATAGCAGGTGTTAAAATTCTTTATACGGGTGATTTCTCAAGGCTCGAAGATAGACATTTATGTGCTGCTGAATTACCATCAGTTTCTCCAGATGTGCTAATTTGTGTGAGAATTTTTATTTAGATAATAAATTTTAAATTTTTTAAAGTTTTTCTTTAATTCTATAATTAATTTTGTTTTTAAATAGTGTCACATTTAAATCTTTTTTTCTTTTACTTTGTCCTTCTAGGAATCGACTTATGGAACTCAAGTTCATGAAAATCGAGAAGACAGAGAAAAAAGGTAAATGTGCAACTTCTTTTTCGCGAGTTTTTGTTTGATTTTTATTCCTAAAAAAAGTGCTTTTAAGGTTTACAAGTATTGTGCATGAAATCGTCGGTCGTGGTGGCCGTTGCCTAATTCCAGCCTTTGCATTAGGAAGAGCTCAGGAACTGTTGCTTATTTTGGATGAATATTGGGAGGCACATCCGGAGCTACATGATATTCCAGTGTATTGTAAGCTAATCATTATGTTCCACATCTGACATATGTATTTCGTACGCAGCGAATCGTAATATCACTAATAGTTGTGTCACTATCACTAATAGTCACTAATTAATGGCATAATTCAATTTTAGATGCTAGTTCACTCGCAAAGAAGTGTATGGCTGTATATCAGACATTTGTGAGTGGTATGAATGCAAAGATCCAGAAGCAAATAGCTTTAAATAATCCATTCGTTTTCAAACATGTTTCAAATTTAAAGGTGCAGCATATTTTTTAATTTTTAATGCATATTTTTCTTAAGCAGAAAGGGACAGAGAATCTCGTTTATTTTAACGAGAATTTTTAAAGTTTTTAAATTGTTGTTTGTTTTCACAACATTATTTTGTTATGGCTCAGTGGCGATTGCCACCAAGAATTGAGGCCTGGGTTCGAATCCACCGGCTCACCACTCTCATCGGGCTTCACTTAAGACAAAACAAAAAAGAGAATTCAGTAGTGCTCAATTTGGAGCGCCTATGAAGTTCTCTCGGGAGGAGGAAAATATCTAAAAATTCGGGTAATGCCAGCGACTCATTTGCATTTGTATCGTCAAGGGATCATATTTATACAGTGTGTCAAGCTAGAGGAGAAAATTCAACCAGTCATGGTAATCATATTTTTCGATATTTTTTCGGAATTTTTTGCAGAGCATCGATTACTTCGAAGACGTAGGGCCGTGTGTTGTAATTGCATCTCCAGGAATGCTACAAAATGGATTGAGTAGAGAGCTTTTCGAGAACTGGTGCACGGATTCTAAGAATGGATGTATTATTGCAGGCTACTGTGTTGAAGGAACACTGGCTAAGGTTTGATTTGGTTTGTTGAATTTTCGATAGTTTGTTTAGAAATTTTTTTATTTTATTTTAGCATTAATTTGTATGAAAACTTAATTTTTTTAAGTTTTTTTCAAGTTACCGTTTTCTAATTATCTGCTTGTGATTTCGCCTTATGTTTTGGTTATTTACGGTAGTAGGTATAATACTGGTTAAATTATTGTTTCCCATGTAATATACATATCTTGGATTTTTATTATTGCTTTTTTTTTTTAATTGTAATAAATTTTAATTTTTAAGCATATTCTGTCTGAACCAGAAGAAATCATTGCTCTGAATGGTCAAAAGTTAGCAGTGCGATTAGAAGTAAGTTTCAAAGTTTCAAACTGGTTATTTCTCGCTCAAACTCAAATTTCTGAGTTTTTGATTGAAACTGTTCCAAATATTTTTTGCGCTTGAATCATATTTCTTCTGCTTATTTTGTTTATTTCAGATTGCCTACATAAGTTTTTCCGCTCATACAGATTGCGCTCAAACATCCGAGTTCATTAAAATACTTCATCCACCACATTTAATATTTGTTCATGGAGAAATGAATGAAATGAACCGTTTGAAAGCTGCTATTCTTCGACAATATGAAGATGATTTAGATCATCATATAGAAGTCTTATTTTTACCTATTTAATATCAACTTTTCACGGTAATTATTTGATAGTTATTCATGAAAAATGTTGGCATTTCAGGTTTACAATCCTCCTAATACGGTACCTGTAAATCTTCATTTCAGAGGTGAAAAAACAGCAAAAGTGAGCTTTTTATTGATAACTTTTCTTCATCACGAATTGGATTGTCATACTTTTTTTGAATTGTTTTCAAAAATTGAAAAATATAGAAAGAATAATCGTAAGAAATTAGAGTCAGTTTTGATTTGAAAGAAGAATAAAATCATCTGAAAATTAGGTTCATTAATATATGAGGTTCACTAATGTAAACTTCCATCTATGTAGGTTGTTGGTAAATTGGCTACAAATCTACCAAATGACGGCGATCTGCTCAGTGGTGTTCTTGTGCGTCGTAACTTCAATTATCATCTTATGAAAGCTGAAGATTTAAGTGGTATGGTTCTCATATATTATCGTCTTAATTATAACAAATATCTTTTTATTTCAAGGATTTAGGAAATTGCAGAATATAATATATAATATAGTACAATAATATAATATAGTACAATTCGAAGTAACTATATTATATATAGTCGGATGGTAAAAATCAAGATTTCACACTTCCTGCATGATGTGAACTTTTTAAATAATATCATAAATGATCCAATCTTTTTTTAAAGATAGCTAAGGATGACGCACAAGCTATATCGTTCGGTAATTTATTCCAATAATTAACAGTACGAATAAAAAATCGTTAATTTAGTTTTACATATAGGTTTTAGTAATTTTAGCCCATTAGTTCTTGTTGGATTAAAATTTAGCCTAAATTATAATATTTTGAACAATATAGTTTAACATAACCATACAGAATCTTATAAGTATAAATTAAATCTTATTTAATACGACGAACTCAGGTGAGAGAATTTAGATTATGTTGTAGAAGTTTTCTTTTATAATTAAAATTGCAATTAAGAGAGAGGAGTTGAACAAAATATTTTTGGAGTCCTTCAATTGTTTTACTTGATTTATGATATCTCGGAGAGTAACATGTAGTATTGTAGTCAAGAAGAGGCTGAATGAACGCTTTGTACATTTTGATAAAAAAACTTTCAGTTTTGTTCTTGAGCGAACGAAAAATAAAATTTAGTTTCTTTACCATAATTCTGCAGTGAAGGTCGAAGTCGAGATTTTCATCTATGATTATTTCAAAATTTGAAATGTGTGAGACTCTACTGATTGTATTACCATTAATAAAAAGATTAGGAAAATCGAAACCTTTAGAATTAGTATGAAGAATGCCATACTTTTGAAAAGAAAAGGAAATTTGCCTGTCATATAGACAGTTGGCTATTCTGTTGAGGTGCTCCTGCAGTAGAGGTGGGCTATCTGTTCTACCATAAGAATAATAAATTTCACAATCATCAGCATAAAGGTAAATGGTAGGATTTAATACCACAATGGTGATATTAAATTCTATTAAAAATAACACATTAGTAATATCATTTATATATAATAGAAAAAGTAATGGCGCAACACAACTACTTTGGGGAACGCCAGATTTAACAGGTGTTGTGTCAGAAAGAATGTTATTGAATGGAGACATTTTTTGGCATAAAAAGTAACAATATCATTCTACCAAATAAATCGAATTTATTGCACTTCTCTCGGTGAGGTTGAAATAACGCTACTGGATGTTTATGATGCCTTAAATAGACTTAAGCCATCCATTTCAGCTGATCCCGATAATATTAAAAAAATAAAATTTATAAAATATTTAATTTAATAAAATTTATTTATAAAAAATGTGCAGTTTCTCTGAGTCTTCCCTATTTTTAATTCATAAGGACACACAGCTTGGTAACGATCTTTTATGTATTCTTACGCCCAGTTATGAAGGGCCCCTGTCATACCATAACTAAGAGTGATCAGTGATTTGCTGTGGGAAACAGTATCAAAAGCTTTGGCTAAATCTAGGTACAACTGATACTGTTTTTCCATTGTCAATTGATGCTGACCAATCAGCAAGATTTGCCAATATTTGTGAAGAAGTCTTAGATTTTTTTGTACAAATGCCATGCTGATAGGAGGATATGAAATTATTGACATCAGGATAAGCAAGCACTTTGTTGCAAATTAATCTTTTAAGTACCTTGCTACCAATGCATGTTAGGCTAATAAGTCTATAAATAGAAGGGTCATAGGTGCTTCCTTTTTTATGAATGGGAATTATATGAGACAATTTCCATTTTGGGATAAGACCAAATTTCATAATGTCCATATAAATTAAAAATAGGGAAGACTCAGAGAAACTGCACATTTTTTATAAATAAATTTTATAAATTAAATTAAATATTTTACAATTTTATATATAATAAATTAAATATTTTATAAATTTTATTTTTTTAATATTATCGGAATCAGCTGAAATGTACGGCTTAAGTCTATTTAAGGCATCATAAACATCCAGTAGCGTTATTTCAACCTCACCGAGAGAAGTGCAATAAATTCGATTTATTTGAATGATATTGAGCAGATTACTTTTTATGCCAAAAAATATCTCCAAATGCTCATTAAAAATTTAATCGTTATTCAGCTTATACTGACCTGTCGAACAGCGTTCTTACCCAGCGAGAAAGCATTTTCTACAGTGGTTCAATCAGTCTACTACTTTATAATTTACAGCAGATTGCTGGTGACGTAATTGCTACAGAAATCGATTCTAAGGATTCTGCGCCACCAACTCATGTCATTACAATGTTTAACGTAAGACATTGGTCTTGGTCTTTTAATTGTAATTTTAAGTTCTTTTAATGTATAATTTTAAGTTCCATATTTTCTTAACGTCTTAATTATTCCAATTTTTTATTGAATAATGGTTTCAGTGGATGTATCGCCATTCATCATTCTTATTTTAGGAGAGTATAAAAGTCATGGTAAACAAGGAAGAACAAGTCGTTGTTGTTGAATGGACTTCCAACCCCGTAAATGATATGTTCGCAGATGCCACTCTGGCAGCTATTTTGCATGCATACATCAATCCCATACCTGATAAAAGTATTTGCTTACAAGTTTTACTTAAAGTTTTACATTCAAAAATTTAAATTTTTGTTTTTTCTCCTTTTTCCGTTCTTCTATTCAGTTGCAATTTATTTTTTTTTTTAGATTTGCCGAAATGGCAAGATAAACCGAATCCGACAGAATGTCTAGAAAAATCATTGCTAGAAATCTGTGGCGAAGATGCAAAGATTAAGACTGTGGGCGAAATTATTGAAGTGGAAGTTGACGGAAAAACTGCTACTATTGATCTTAATTCTTTACACACAACTTGCTCTGACCAATTACTTCATCATTTGATCTCATCTGTATGCCAAAAGATGATGCATACTGTGACACCAGTTTGTCCATCAACCTCTTCAAAACAATGAATTTTTATAATTTTTATATTTTCATTCTTAACCATAAAAAAAGAAAAATTAAGTGAAATTTGTATTAATTAATCAAAATAAATAATTAAAACTTTTGTTCTTAGAATGTGGTAAATGCATCAGTATAGAAAAAAAAATTAAAAATGGCAGTAATATACTCAATATATGGTCATCCAAAGATTATTCAAATGGTTAATTATTGTTCATAAAAGCTTCTTCTCTTTTTAAATGCGTGGACTCGTTTGCAGTCAATGATGAAGTCAATGAACCCATTCTTCTGCTATCTTCAAATTCATCAGGCAACGTACACAGAAGGCGAATAGAGAATATGGTATGGGGAATATCCTCAAATATTTCTTGGTGACCAAGATACAGTGTGGTTTATTTCATTCATAACTTTTAAAAAAGGCGTTATTTCAATTTAAATTGGTGGCAAAGGTATTTAAAAAATCACCGACAGATAAAAATAAGTCTTTGCTTCCATAAAAGAGAGAATTTACCACTTATTTTTTTATTGAAAATATATTAAATGGTGAAAAAAAATCTTTTAACTCCACAAAATTGTTTTCCATGTGGCGAATTTAGCAAAATTTTTTGAGAAATATATTGTTTTTAGCAACGAAAAAATAAATGATATAAAATATAAAAATTATAACGAACATAAAAAATTAATCAAAAAAACAATTAGCAAAATAAATAATGTAAGATGAATTCACCATTTTTCATCATAATAACTCGAATTTATGATATTCAATATCCATGGTTTCGATGGTTTACATTCATTTAATTGGTACTCATTCGTATAAACTCCATTGTCGACTGTTAGCGTTGTCCAGATTATCCTGAAAAAAAGAAAAAAGTATTGCCGATCAGCACCGGAAGTATTAATAACTTAATATTGACAGCGAGCAGAAACAAAAAAAAATGGCCACTGCCAAAAGCCGGCTCCTTTTGATTTCAATATTTATTTCCTTTATTTCGGTATTGAAACGAAAAAAATTTAATTTTTATATTCCTCGATTTTTAGCTCATTTCAAATCTTAGACTTTTTTTCCTACTTGTAGGGGATAATAAAGCCAACAAAATAGATGGGTGGAAGAAGTATAAAATGGTCGACAGGAGCGAGACAAGTTGTATTATTTTGGTGGCAAATTAGCATAATTGCCAAGTATAAAATGGAATTGCTCGCTGATTTCTCACTTGTCTGTTACCATTACCAGTGGTACCATTTTTCGTAATGAAAGCCAAATTTTCTGCAAAGTTTTTGCGAAAATGATTCGAATAAAAAATAATTTTTTTTATTGGAATTACACTATAAGAAAATTAAAATTCAGTTCACATACGTATAAAATCCACTATTAAATTGCGCTCTGCCAGTTTATTGTGTTGATAATAATCTTTTGTTTCGAGAAGGAAGCTTAATAATTGCCTTGTCGAAAAATTATGAAGATCGTAAAAATTTGCGTGTTCGGACCAGTATTCGGATTTTTGCCCACAAGCAATATGGAAAATTGCATCGAAGTAATACGGTCATCGCTGTACCGATGGAACATTTAAGCGAAAGGTACCACGCGACATTTTTAGCACTTTTTATTACAAAATATTGTTTTTTAATGAATTAATATGCGTAATGTTTTTTTCGCGAATGCAAATTTACAAACTTCAGAAGAATATGCAAGGAGAATTAAATTGAATTTGATGTGCTTGTGTGTCGAAAAAAATAAATTTCGTAAAATTTCTAATTCAAATTTCTTATTTAATTCATTTCAACCCGCTAGAAATTTAACTTTTTTATGCGAATTCATTTTTAATTTAAAATATTAAAAATATAAAAAAATTTTTAATTATTCAATATTCCACACTTTTTGTTCCTTTTTTTTATACAATTATCCCTAATCTGTTTTTCTACATTTTACGCTAAATGTAAAAAAAATGGAGAAATGAAATTGCCTGCAGCTTTATTACCTCGCTTTTTATGCCCGCACTGCTGCTTTAGCAAAGCAGATAAATTTTGAGATTTACTAGGCGATAAGATTAAAAGTGGATCGTCCGCACCAACTGAGCTGCTTACAGATTTGCTGCTGCTGACGGCAAAACCCCTGCAACGGCACTCCGAAACGAAAGCAGAAACCTACTGATTTGCATACTCTTTATGTTTAATGAATTATTTTTAGTTATTTTACTAACTTTTGTAGTATTTCTACGGTTTTATTTGTTTTTATATTCTATTAAACAAACCAAAATAAAACTCTAAACGATTTTTAAGAATTATAATAAAACGAGTTTAGATGCAATTTAAATCATGGAGAGAACTATCTTCATAAAGGTTAATTTCATAGCATAATAAGTCTCAGTTAAAGGTCATTTTGACTCAGGTTCCAGCCCAAACTTCACAACTTTTGACAAGTATAGCGAGTAGACTCTACATATACTGAATTTTTTAAAAAGCACAACTTACATAATGAAGGAAAAATGTCAGAAAAATCTCGTAGTATTTGTTTTGATTAACAAGTAAATTTATCATATATACAAGGTAAAGAAATAATATCTCATTAAACCATAAAAATCAAACAAAAGTAAGAATAGGACCGTAATTACTTATTACGATCCATAGGAGAAAAAACCCAGTGTAAAAAATGAGCGCAAGTTCAGCGATTTAAAAGAAAACGAAACAATAACCGCCAAAAATACCAAATAAAAAGAAAGATCGAAAAAGAAAAAGAGAGTTAAAACCGGTAACACAATTGTATGAAATAAGAGTAATTTCGCACCCTGAAGTTAATGGTTGAACAAAATCAATTCAAGAATGTTGCTAAGATCTTTTTAATGATGGCAGCTAGTTTCATATGCAACATGATGCTTCAAACAAGAAAAAATTTCGTCAATAAATTACAAAGGCGAGAGGCATATTTGATAGCAGAAAATATGTTAAATATGTCATGAGCTAATATCATATTTCACAAAAGCTAGGACATGACTGAAAGAAAACCGTTGTTCCATTATGCACAGGAAAAAAATTTTTTTACATTTAACTGATATATGATCAGAAGACTATTTAAGAGACTCATAAAGGTCGGGATCTGCCAAAATACTGTCGTGCAAATCGGGTAGATCTTCAGCAATTACCTGCAAGCTTTTTACTTAAACATTTTACGACATAAATGAATTTTATTAAGCAGTAAAAAACTCCATTTAAAATGCTATAAATCAGATCGATAAAATGTAAATTCACTTGTGATAGTCAAAAGCACAAAGATATTATTACCCCCAAAACCGTATTTTCTTCGCTTTCTCTCACCAGTTTCATTCTGAATTCATCTTGATTAACTGTCTCAATGCTTTTTTCCATTGATAGTGCACGTTCATCTAGCAATGACTCTAACATCCACAGCAAATGATCGTTAGAAAAGATTGGCACCAAGTTCCTAGAATGTGTCATTACGAAAATTTGTACCAAATCAGTGAAACAAATAATTATTACTGAAAAATTTTTAAGTCAGCAAACAAAAAACAATGAAAAACTGCCTAAAACCAACTCTTCTATATGCCAAACTGATCTATCTGGCAAGCCTTTCGACAAATGATTATTTTCAGCTAGATGCTTTCTTAATGCTTGAATCGATCCAAAGCCGCTTTCACCACAAATAAAACAGTGTACGTTATAGTTTTGTTTTCGTATATAATTGATCATTTTCACGCGCCCATAAACATCAAGCTTCTCATTTTCGATTATTTGCAAAATATCGAAATGATGATCATCCTTTAATTTATAGAATATAAATTTAATCAGTAAAATTATTAAATGTGCATAAGTTTCCACCTCTTTTTTACCTTAAAAAGAGAATTGTGAAGTGAAGAAATGGACAAATGAACCTCATAAAGATAGAACAGATGGCAACAGCAAGCACAGAATGGTTCGCAGAGCAGAGTGATCTTCAAGACAAGACAAATGCAGGCAAACCTCAAGAATGATCAATGCAGACATTACTTAATAAAGACCCATACCAAACTAAATTAGAAATGGCATAGTTAGGATGCTATCATTCTTCAAAAGGTTTCCAGGATGGGAAAAAATCAAAAATCTGGAAAGAGGCGTCACCAAACGAAACAGTACTTGAATACTTCTGCTTCTTTTTTTACCACGCATAAAAGAAGCGTTTTTTATGATAGATTATCACTGAAAAATGGTTTCAATATCGTTTAATAAATAAATCATAAATACAAGCGGCGAAACCAACTTAGTTTGAACAAAAAGTTTTGCTTCTAGTGGGATGGTATTACGACTTGCTGAAACCTAGAAATTGCCAGCTTAAAATTGCCAGCTTCAAAGGCAATCGGATATTCATTTAAGATCAAAAAACTCGATAAGTAATTCTTTTACATGACTCGCCCACGTATGGAAGGAACCCATTTTGAATTTGGGTTGGGAAGACCTTCCTTATTTTTTCTATTCCCCATAAGTGGCTTAATTAGATTACCATCTTTTTAGACGAGTGCAACACTTTTTATCTTGATTCTTTCGAAGATATAGATGAAATTTTATAGAAAGATGGCTGAAGATAGCAAAGAGCGAAAGAAAATACTTCGATGATTATAAGTGCCTGCTGGAAACTTATGCACAGAACACCGTGTTGCACAGCAATCCGTTTAATCATTTAGTACATTCCCCAAAAATGATCACAGAAAAACGTTCAAGATAAAAGAAATAGACATTATCCGCAACACACCTAAATCTCAAGCCACAAGCCAAAATTTCTGAAACAAATTAACCTTGAGATGTTTAAGTAAATATTCGATCAAATCATAACTGTTATCGCAGAGAAGACAAAGAACTCGGGTCTGATCCTCATCCAAATTATCTTCTTGCCATTCATGCCATGAATCTCTAGACAAATGAGCTTCAAAACATTTCAGAACTTTAAAAATATCGGGACTTTTTAAAAAATGAAAGAATAAGCAAAACATTAGAATAAAAAACTGACTGTTCTTCTTCTTCATCGGAATCTACAAAAGTCGGCATTGTATCCTCAAAATCTTCAGCTAGAACATCCAACCAACGCTTTCCAAGTTCCTAGAAAAAAAATTACTAAACGACGTAAATTTACCGAAGTTGCTAAAAATTTATCTAACAAGTATGGAATTCTACTTTTTAATTTACCCACGGAAAATAATCTTTGAAATCTTCAAATTTGTTTTGGTACATTTTAATAACAAACAAAGACAGATTTCTCAAGGTATTCTAATTTTACGGTATCCTCACCAATAAATATAAGGATATACTTACATTTGATATAGAAGAAAAACATACAAGGTAATTGATAATGTAGAACTTGTCATAATAATTGTTTTTCGGATTTACCTCCCGGTGATTTCTTTTTCGCATGTGATCCATCAAGGTAGCTCGATCTGAGAAGACCTTTTCACAGTACATACATATATTTCTAAAAATACTTCAGTCACTAAATGAGTATTTATAAATGAGCTGGAATTAATTAAAAACTGAATGTACACAGGAAATATTATTAGCTCCAAAAATTTAAGGTTCTATTCCTCGCTGGGATAAACTTGTTGAAAAATTCGATGCTGGCTATTTAAGTCAACTTCTATCCTTAATGGACTACTTGGAATATTCGTTCAATGTAGCTAGCCAGCGAAACGAGCTTAACGAGTTTAGAATACGAAATTAAAAATGAATGCATGCCTTGAGAGCTTATCCTTCAAATGTTCAATGTATTCAGCCACGAAAACTGAAAAAGAATAATGAAGTCAATTTTTCAAAAATTGAGACCTAAAAATAGAAAAATTTTCTTCCCTATATTTAAAAATATATATATATATATAAATACTTAAAATAAATGAACAAAAATTGAATTTATACCGAGATTATCTGGTGATCCTAGATTCAAATGATGGATCATGTAAAGGTGATGAATAATTTTTGAACGATTTCCACGAGCAATATATCTACAAAATATACACTGCTGAAAAAATGCCGTATCTTCTCGTTCCCGTTGCTGGCAAGCGAGAGCCTAAATATATAGTCATACTTTTTGAAAGGCTTTAACGGCACGATTCAAACTGATACGCTCAACCGTTTCACTCTTGAAAATTTTTTAATTAATGAAAATCGAAACTAAGTCATATAAGTGAGTACAAATTGGTTGCATGTGAAACTTTAATTTATTTATTTATTATTTCCACCACCATGTTCTGACGCAGAAAGAAATCAACCATTAAAATATCCGGCTGCTGAAGACCAATCAATACTTCCGCTTTCAACTGATCATCAAATAGAATCAACTGCAAGTGGAATCGTCTCATCCTAATTATGTTCAGTCCAACCAGAAAAAATGCTTACATGTCCTACTTGTTACTCGAATAAACTAAACAATAACTTTTATTCTTTAATATGCACTAATTCAGTGAACCAAACCTCTTCAAGGCGTCTCATAGCCAGTCGCTGTCGCAAAGAATAATCCTCAGGCAGCTGTTCACTCATTTCGAAATAATAGTCCACTAAACCATAGTAAGGCGAATTTTCGTCTGGTTCGATTTTCAGAAATATATTTTCAACACCTTCTGCAGCAAAACGTTGTCGCCAGTGTTCCACATATCTTCAATTTTTATTCCCAAATGACCAATGTGATCAATTATTAAAATAATTAAAACTGTGAAAAAATAGTTCCAATCGTTTTTTGTATACCACTTACCTTTCCAAACATAAAGTATTCATCAACTTCATCTCATTAATGAGAAAAAAAATCTTAATGAAAAAATGATTAAGATTGATAAGATACAAAAACCTTTTCAGATCCACAATTAGATCCATTTCGCTCACAACAATGTGATGTTGTACAAGCAAATGTCTGCAAAAGATTCAGAAGAATTTCATTCTTTTAAAAAGAAGTATTTTAAAATATTACAAGAAATAAAAAATTTACAAATATTTTATTATAAATAATATTTTTATGCAAATTTAAAATAAAAAACCAGTTTTTAAAACTTCTTATAATTTCACTTCTTCTTATAATATATAATTTAAAATTTCACGAAAAAATTCGAAAATTGAAAAAAAATTTATTTCCTATATTTTTGGATACATTTTTTTTTACAGGGATTTGTGGTAGAAAATTTCTAGCTATTATAGAAAATTTAAATCCAAAAATAACGCAAGATGATAAGGAGCGATTCGATCAATAAATAAGTGATAAAACCGAATAGAAATCATACTCAGCAAAACTATCTATCATATCAGGTAAATCGAAAAACTGGAGACAGCTTAAGCACATCGTTGGTCCACCCCATTTAGGACTGAAAAATTGAAATATAAAACTCCAAATGACAGTAATAGGAAGAAAGAGTCATGCATTAATGAAAGCAGCCATTGATTAATGAATTTTAAACAAAAGTAGAACGAATTTCTAACAAAGATATGCAATGATTTAAGCCTAACCTGTATCCGACAGCAGGTATGGTACCCGACAATGTCCGTATCCTACCTCTCGGAATCGGCAACATCATCTTTCTCGGACCTTTAGATGCATCATCTTCACTTTCACTGAACGGCTCGTCAAGGTCAACTGGAAATTTTTTTTTTTTTTGTAAACAAATAAGAAAAAAATCCGACTAAGAATTTAATCGAAAAAAATTTTTCTACAAGTTCTGTGTGAAATTCAGTTAATTTGAAAACCGCTAAAAAACCATTTAAAAAAATTTCAGATCGCTTTTACTGAAGAAACTATCTAATGAGATTGCTATAATATATTATAAACGTTTTCATAAGTCAATAAAAATGTCATAAATGCATTTGAACATTAGCAACAGCACTGCTCTGTTAAATTAAAAAAATGAAATGAAAAGATGAAATGACAAACATTCATCGCTATATTCGAAGTGTTCGGAATTCACTGAAGTCGTTGAACCTTTTGCTAAACTTTTACTTGCTGCAAATGAAATTACATTAATAAATTAAAATAAAAATAAAACAAACCAATAAAATGACCAAATAAATAATGAAAATAGTTCAAACTTTTAAAATTCATCACCGATAAGTAAACAATAGTACATTTAGTGATATTAAGAACAAATCATGCTTAATACTATTTTTCAACGAATACCTTCACTTCTAGTGCGACTAGGCGTATTCATATTATTAAGAATTTTGCCTGCATTACTCGATCTTGAACGTTGTTTTTCATACTTGTCACCATTTTTATTTTTTTCATTCCCATCATCAGTTCCAGTAGTATTCCTACGATTGTAATCGAATTTTCGTCGACGATAATCACTCTTCCCCTTAAGAAATCCCTAAGAGTTAAACAAAATGCAATCGATAATATCAAGGATAAAAGGAAAATTATTTTTCTTACCTCGCTCCACTGACCTTTTCGAGTCCACCCAAAAAACAAGTGATTTTCAAGAACACACTAAGCGAAGATATTCTGATCAAGCAGCAGAATTCTTCATATTCTGATAGTCTTCATAAACTTCGCTGATATGCCTATCTTTCTATTCTTTGTTCTACGATTTTTGAAAATACTTAATATTAAATACTAGACAATGAAGATATTAATACTTATTCACAAAATAAAATATTGCTAGACAATGATGCAAATATTGATAAATAACAGAACTGTGAATATTTCAGAACAAATATTCAAGAGCAATTCACATAAATGTCTTCACTTAACTTTTAAAAAAATTTCAGACGACTTGACTGACTTAAAAATGCGATTTCATAAACCAGTTAAATCCGAAATCCTCATGCTACTTAACTATTATATATAAAAGTTACTTAACAATTAACAGTTAATTAACTCTGGGAACAAGTACCAATTACACTACAAAAAACCAAAATTGTAAATTCAAGCCTAATTCTACGAAATGGCGCTTGAATCGAATTAGTATGCGTCCTGCAAATCCAAAATTTCTATTCATTCCGTTAATGTGGAATACACAGATCAGACTAATAAAAATTACAACAAACCCTGTTCGTAGCCGCTCTACCCTGGTTATTGCTTTCAAATTGAGTTAGATTCCGCTGTTGTTGAGTGATAAAATTTTGACAAGATGGTCCGTTCTGTCGCCAAGACTTCGCATCAGACGCATTTGCGTTTTGCATTTTTTTATTAATTTTTTCCTTCTTTTTGCCATCAGTTATCTTTTCCTCATTCGTTATAACCGTATTATTGTTTGAAGACATTATTTGTCTTTTTTAGGGCCAATTTTGAGTGAAAAGTGAATACACTGCAATAAATCGAATGTATCACGAAAAATTCAAAACAAAAAATAGCTTCGAATAAAACGCCTGTTTATTATTTACTTCATATGAAAAAAATAACATGGCATAATGATAGGTGTAATGATCGTATATGTTTGGGACTGGTTTGTGCTTCCATCCCTAACTATATTGAAATGTAATCCCCCTCTACTCAACTATATCTCTCGTAAAACTATCTTTTAGATAATGCAGACAGGCAGCCAAAGCATAAGATGATGAATACAACACATATAAAAAGAATCATGTATAGAATTATAATAATATTCATACCTACAGAATTAGAATTCATACCTATGTATTTTACGACAATTCTGGAAAATTAAAGCAACTAAAAAATGAAAAAAACCTTCACTCGGAAAGTTATTTTATCAAAGAATTAAAAATTTCTTTCGTATATTTTTGACGAAAAAATTTTCAGCAAAAAAAATATCAACTAAAATATGGCAAAAATAATATTTGCTTTCAGAGCCTTTTTTTTTAAACACCATTGCCATTCACAACAAAAGCGATAAAACTTCACTACATAGATATGCAAATTCACCTTTCTATCAGAATAGCGAAAAAAATTGAAAAAAAATAGCGAAATAAATTTATGAACAACTGAATAAGCGAATCGAAGCTGTTCAATTCGATGATGTTCGCCAAAAAAATAAATAAATAAATCAATAAACATCAAATCAATAATGAAATTTTGAGAATTTTAGCATTTTTTAAAAAATGAATTATTTTTTGAATAAAAATTTTAAAAAGCAAAACCTAAAAATCATATTTTAAAAAATTTAAGAATAAAAATGTATTTTAAAATTAATGGATTATCTATAAAATTTTGATTGATTAATTTAATAAACAAAAAAAATTTTTGAAAAATTAAAAATCAAGGAATTTCGTTATTATTTTTAAACAACAATCATTCGTTCATATAATTAAAAAATAATCATTGATAGCATTGAAAAAAGATCATTCAAATTTTCAAAATCCAAAATTAGAAGAAAAAAATAGAGCAATCATGTTAACAGGTGATAAACTTCGGACATTTCTTCCTAATTCCAATCTAGCTGGTTGCTAGTATGGTTACAAACTTGTGCTAGGAGAAAGCCGATTGGAGAAAGCGATACAGATAGACTGGCAATTTCCCCCCCATGAGGTTCTCAAACTTTCCATCGCTTTTAAACTCTTAAAATAATCGAGAATATATCATAAGACCTTTTTTTATGTGGGCTATGCCTCATAACATTCATCGTGTTCGAAATTAAAGCTGAACAATTTCTAAATATATTACTATGCAATTACTAATGTTATCATAATATTGCAATTCTTTTCTTGAGCACATCTTGAAAGAGTGCCTACGGATCCTAGGCACAATTTCGAGAACCACTAATGTAGTCTATTATCCACTCGGTAATCGAGCAAATTTGCAAATACGGAAAAAAAAATTTAATATAAATTTAATTCTGTGACGACTGAAAATTTAAAAAAAGTTGTGCCACTTCTATAAATCAAATTAATTGTAATAAACTTTCAATTTTTTTCACCAATGGGCTTCGTCAAATTGATCATATGACATTTTTTTTTTAAGCGCACTCATCATTGCTGGTTAGCCTCGCCCTGTTGTCTAGTCTGGATAGTCGGACCAGAAGTATGTTACAATCGCCAGCGTCACCCGGATTTCCTGACAGGTTCTTTTCCTGCCGCGAGTGGAACCTCAGCATCGGCACTCGTAGTTGGGCAACAGCCAATTGAACCATTCTACTCTTCATTTCTGCGTTACACTGCGGCCAGACGGAGTTTAATGCGTTGGGAGGATTCGAACCCAGACTTTGATTCTCAGTGGCGGTTATCTTGCTAATGAGCTAATAACACGTCGACTCACTTGACATTTAACGTCACAAAACAAATCAGATTTTTTGTTGAAAAATACCTTTGTTAAACTTTTTGAAAGTTTTTAATAAACTTATGTATACTATTTCATATTCAAACATGACGTCTCAGATTCAATAAAAGCGCTACATTACAAACCACAAGCTTTAATTATTAAAAGCGAATGTATGCGTGATAAACGAGAGTGGATGGCAGTCAAGATTATCGTGCTTGGAGACAACGGTTTCGGAGAAACTTCAATTCTGCCAAGGGACTACTTTCAAGGATAAACACTGTCACTGACAACCATATCATTGACAAACTCCGTGGCACTGGCAACTCACCTCAGTTTCCAGCAAGAAACTATCATTGATTACTAAAAATCAGCGCAGCTCGCCATTCAAGTTATCTCAAGAAATGTAAAAATCGAATGCTAAATTCTGTACAATTTTATTAGCTATTTTAAGAGAATGTAAAATTGAAATTTTGTTTAAATATAGCAAAAATTTAAACCACAAAATTCCAACGATGCAATAAGTACTTCTAACAAACAACGAAAAAAACATACGCGCCACACCGCTAAAAGCAATAACTGAAACACTGGGAAGTATGCAGCGAATGCTATTATAATCTTGGCCCAATGCCAACGAAATGAGCTTTCAATTAAATCTATCTGTAAAAGCACAATAACAAACTGTCTATGCTGCTTGCCAGCCTAGTGCGTCATTTACAAGTCGCAGAGTAGTTGTTCGCCTTGGCTGGAGTGATCTGGTGTTAAATTTGGGTTGGCTGCCTTGCTAGTCGAATAGTATTGCTTGATCCTTTATTTCATCAGATATTAAGAAAGTAAGTAAGTAAGTGTTAAGTGGTTAACAAGTGGTTTTTGATTAAACTTGCTCTGCTAACGCTATAAGAAGTCTCACAGAGACTCACTTGGCGATGGAAATGCAGGTAGTCCTTCTAAAATGGGCCGGATTCTCTAATGACAGGTTTAGCGATGCCAGAGGCGGAAGTGAAATGAACCACCGCTCGGCTATTGGAGTAAATTCATGTTTTGACCTTATATTCGCTGAGGGTCACGTGTCCCACGAGTTATGTTGCACCTCAGATTTTTTTTGATTGCAGCGCTTAAAAATTTTTTATCAAAAATATCAAAAAAATAGAGAATTATTCAATTATATATTCGCTATCTGAGTTAGGGAATTTAGCGATTTTCAATGAAATTTACCGTTGAATTGGTCGCAATAAACAATAGTTTGACTAAATTCCAGCAGTTCATATTTGCCATGAATGAAGAGGTTTTTGCTGGTGTTTAGCATTCATTTTTCATCATTAATAACATTTCGCTTCAAAAATGCTTCATTTCCCTGTCGAGGAAGAAGCGATGCACGAATTGACTGACGGTCGTCGAAGGATGATTTATTCTTCGGTGAATTTGTTTGGGACGCAGACACCAACTTTATTTTACTTCCTCATAGCATACAGGTGATTGGAATGGTAAAAGTTGTTTTCTCAGCGATTCCATTCAATGTTGGCTTTGGACCAGCCACCAGATTATTAAAAGCACAAATTCTTCACCAAATTCTGGAGAATCTTTCTGCGTATTTTAAGCTGAAATCACCACTTCTAGATTTCAAAAATCACTTTTTCTTTTATATTTCTTCACATTTATCGCATTTGGGTAAACTTCGTTTATTTTAGTCGTTACCATTATTGCATTGTTTATATGATGAAATTCGTAGAACGTTCCTCAAATAGCACTTCACAGTTCCAATATTGAGCCACTCGATAAATTTTCACAGCCAAATGTATCATAGTAAGATCTGTCAGATTAATGTCAAAATTAGAAATGACTTTTACGACAGAAAAATTCGCTGTAGAAAAGCATTATTTCATGAAACTACTATTAAAAGCTGGAAAATTTATAATTTTTAAAAGTGAAAAGGTGAATAAAATTGAAAAGCCAAGTTTTTGAAATTAAAGCTTCTTTGAAATACACAAAATAATCATTTATTAATGACAATTTATCAAAAAGCGCATGGTTATTCCTTTTTTATAATAAATAAAACATCAATAATCGAAATTATTATAAAATTTTTTTGTAAATTTTTTCAATAAGAGAATTTTTAAAAAACCAAAAATCAACGAAAAAACTAAAATTTAT